GAACTCCTAAAATTCAACAGTAAGAAAACAAATAACCCAATTAAAAATGGGCCCAAAACATTTTAACATTGACTGTTGTGATGGCTACAGAATATACTAAAAACTATCTAATTATATACTTTAAATGGGTGAATTGTATGGTATACGAGTTCTAACTCAATAAAGCTATCAAAAAAAAAAAAATGGGTCAAAGACTTTAACAGACACTTCACCAAACACATACAGATGGCAAAGAAGCAGATAAAAACATGCTCCACATTCTATGTCATCAGAGAAATACAAATTAAAACAAGACACCGCTACACACTATTTACAATAACCAGGACATGGAAGCAATCTAAATGTTCATTGACAGGGGAATGGCTAAAGATGTGGTACATACAATGGAATTTTAGTCAGTCATAAAAAAGAATGAAATAATACCATCATGGATGGACCTAGAGATTATCATACTAAGTGAAGTCAGACAAAGTATCATATGGTATCACTTATATGTGGAATCTTTTTTAAAATGATACAAATGAACTTACTTATAAAACAGAAACAAACTCACAGATTTTTTTTTTTTTCTTTTGATGTGGACCATTTGTAAAGTCTGTATTGAATTTGTTACAATATTGCTTCTGTTTTATGTTTTGGTTTTCTGGCCATGCGGCCTGTGGAATCTTAGCTCCCCGAACAAGGAATCTAACACAACCTCAGCACTGGAAGGTGAATTCTTAACCACTGGACCACCAGGGAATTCCCTCACAGATCTTGAAATCAGACTTATGGTTATCAAAGGAGAAATGTGGGGGGAAGTGATAAATCAGGAGAATGGGATTAACATATATATACTACTGTACATAAAATAGATAACAAAGACCTACTGTATAACACAGGGAACTCTACTCAATATTCTGTAATAATCAATATAAGAATCTGAAAAAGAAAACAGATTATAATTGATTCATTTTGCTGTACAGTTGAAACTGACACACTGCAAATCAACCACATTATAATAAAATTTTTAAAAAAATAAGAATATAGTCCTCTCAAAAACAGCTATTCACCAGGATGCAGTAACAGCACTCTTTATAATAGGAAACAAATGGAAATAATGATTATGTCTAATGGTATGCGTGCATGCTAAGTCGCTTCAGTAGTGGTGACTCTGTGCAATTCTATGGGCTGTAGCCCACCAGGCTCCTCTGTCCATGGGATTCTCCAGGCAAGAATACTGGAATGGATTGCCATGCTTTCCTCCAGGGGATCTTCCCAACCCAGGGAGCGATCCTGCATCTCTTACATCTCCTGCGTTGGCAGGCAGGTTCTTTACCATTAGTGCCATGGGGGAAGCCCACGTCTAATGGTATGGAGTTAATTAAATTATTACATTCCAGTTTATAAAATAATATGCATCCATTAAATGAGAGTACTGATACAGAAAAAAAAAAAGCATGATACTAAGTGAAAAAGCAAAATAAATACAATTATTTTTGGAAATATATTTATGCAGCAAAATAACCCAGGGAAGAAAGGTAGCAAAAATGTTAGTGTTATCTTTAGATGGGACAATTATAATTTTGTTTTCTCTTTATTTAGTCTCTAATTAAAAAAAATGATACATTATATTCATGGTTAAAAAGCAACATCATTAGAAAAACTAAGTAGCTCAGTAGATACTAGTTAAGCAGACACTACACTCCTTAAGAAGGGTCCACTTTTTGTTATTGGCCTGGCAAAAAGTACAATGCCTCTTCATAGTAGTAGGGGTACAATAAATGACTAGATCAACAGAATGAATAATGGCTTTACTTAATTTCACTGCCATCATTTATTCTACTTATCATTCTTACCTATAGAATACCCAAATAGTATCTGCTAAATTAAGTACATTAGTATTTGCTAACTAGATACATTTAGTATCTGCTAAATTAAATACATTAAGTCACCACCCTTTGGGTGAGGAGTGCTCAAACTGAACCCTATATGAGAGTGCCCTCTGGTGGTTTCACGGACAATGCTTTTTATCAATGTGAAGTATGTTAACAATCCATTCCCTTCTCCAGGGGATCATCCCCACCCAGGGATGGAACCCAGGTCTCCTGCCTTGCAGGTGGACTCCTTACCATCTGAGCCACCAGGGAAGCCTCAACAACAATACACCTCAGCAATGGAAGGAAATATGAGAATAAGGACTGGGTAGTAGTATTTTCATGAAGCTAAATTTATTCCATTTAAAGAATCATCAGACCTTATATATTTTTTTTAATTTCTGAAAAAACAAACTAATCTTCCATGAAATGTTAGTGATGGTGGACAATAGGTTACATCTCTGAGGTGGAAAATGGGAGAAGCTGAGTGGAGGTGAAGGTGGTGATGAAATACGTACTTATTCAGCAATTCGTGAAACCCAGAATTCCAGGAACTACAGTGTTAATTACAATGTATGATATTTCCAGTACAAATAAAACTAATTCTCCAAAGCACTCACATGTATATGTGCGCTTTGGACATATCACAACCTAACGATCTCTACTTAGTAGATCCTAGCATTTAGAAGAAAATTTGTCATTTAGTTTTTATAATCCTACTACTTTCATAATGGCATATCTCAATCTTTGCAAAATATTGGATATAAATCAACTGGAAACAAACTATTTTTGAAGATATATCACCAAATATAAGTGGTTAATATTTCAGATTATTAAATTCTATTGATTTGTCTTTCCTTTGCTTTTCCCTCCAAATGAGTAACATATTGTTTTATTTCCTTTATACTTTCCTATTATTCCTACATTTTACTGAACACTTGAACCTTCACCTTCCTTTATGAAAAGAACTAGATTAAGCAATAGAATGTGAAATCATTTTTCACATCCAATTTAAAAATATCACAAATATTGCACAAGTTTGAATAAAGTAAATTTCCATCTTAAAAGACTCCTCACTTCCTAAGGAGAAATCACAGAGGCAGCAATGCTGATCATATATAAGCTGGTAGTGATAATCAACAGAATAGACTATTAATATCCTTCTAAGAGGAACCAGAGACCAAATCGCAGAGAAATCAGAGATCAAATTGCCAACATCCATGGGATCATAAAAAAGCAAGAGAGTTTCAGAAAAACATCTACTTCTGCTTTATTGACTATGCCAAAGCCTTTTTGTGGATCACAACAAACTGTGGAAAATTTTTCAAGAGACGGGAATACCAGACCACCTTACCTGCCTCCTGAGAAATCTGTATGCAGGTCAGGAAGCAACAGTTAGAACTGGACATGGAACAACAAACTGGTTCCAATCAGGAAAGGAGAACATCAAGGCTGTGTATTGTCACCCTGCTTATTTAACTTATATGAAGAGTAGTACATCTTGTGAAATGCCAGGCTGGATGACGCACAAGCTGGAATCAAGATAGCTGGGAGAAATATCAATGACCTCAGACACGCAAATGACACCACCCTTATCACAGAAAGTGAAGAAGAACTAAAGAGCCTCCTAATGAAAGTGAGAGAGGAGAGTGAAAAAGTTGGTTTAAAACTCAACATTCAAAAAACTAAGATCATGGCATCCAGTCCCATCACTTCATGGCCAGTAGCTGGGGAAACAATGGAAACAGTGATAGACTTTTATTTTCTTGGGCTCCAAAATCACTGCAGATGGTGACTGCAGCCATGAAACTGACAGACACTTACTCCTTGGAAGAAAAACTATGACCAACCTAGATGGCATATTAAAAAGCAGAGACATTACTTTGCCAACAAAGGTCCATCTAATCAAAGCTATGGTTTTTCCAGTGGTCATGTATGGATATGAGAGTTGAACTATCAAGAAAGCTGAGCACCGAAGAATTGATGCTTCTGAACTGCCGTGTTGGAGAAGACTCTTCAGAGTCCCTTGAACCGCAAGGAGATCCAACCAGTGAATCCTAAAGGAAATCAGTCCTGAATATTCCTTGGAAGGACTGATGCTGAAGCTGAAACTCCAATACTTCAACCATGTGATGCAAAGAATTAACTCACTGGAAAAGATCCTGATGCTGGGAAAGATTGAAGGCAGGAGGAGATGGGGATGACAGTGGATGAGATGGTTGGATGGCATCACCGACTCAATGGACATGAGTTTGAGAAAGCTCCAGCAGTTGGTGACAGACAGGGAAGCCTGGCGTGCTGCAGTCCATGGGGTTGCAAAGAGTCGGACACAACTGAGTGACTGGACAGAACTGATTCTTACAACACCAGTTTAGTTTAGTAATATTCATGTTCTAATCAGAGCTGCATGTGTTCTGAAGCAAGCAGAATTTTTAAGACAGCCAGAAAAAAATGTCAAAATGAATAATATATTCTTTCTAGTAAAGTAAAAATTCTCAGGTGAAAGAAAACACCTTTTGTCATAGTGATGCATTGTTAAAAAGCTCTGGAGTCTGACAGGGTGGATTCTGGCTCTGCCACTTGCTAGGTAGGCAGAGTTCAAGTCACTTAGCCTTATCTGTAAAATGGGGAAGATGCTGTTTCTTCAGAGGACTATTTTGAGAATTTAATAATATTGTAAACAAAGGACCCAGCAGATAGGAGAAACTGATTAAAATGTAACTAATTATTCCCTAGAGCCACAAGAAAGGAAACATTATAACATCTTTTTCTGTGCGAATAGCATGAGTTTCTTTGCAAAAGCAATTTAAAAATCTTCAGAAGAACCATGCATATTTTTATTAATCATATTTATACTACTAACAGTATCTGGTTGATAAAAGTACTTAAGCATACTAGGCACATAAAAATAAATACTAGACTTAAATAACTCAACAGGAAAATACTATAAAGTAGGCTTTTTAAAATTCAGATTGTCAAATTCAAAATTACTATATATAAAGAAATACACATTCTAATATATGAAAAGATGTTTTATTATTATTTTACTATATAACATATTAATGAATATACCCAATTGTATCTTCTCAAAAGGCAAATGAGATCCAGGGTAGCATTCCTCTTTGATTCCTAAAAACATCAATATCATCTGTCTTTTGGAGGATTCAGTTTCCTACGACGTCTATGATACCTTGAAAGGAAGAAAACATTTAACATAAGATTATTTTAATAAAAGTTAACTGTTCCTGATAGAAATATCAAATTTGTATTAGCTTGGTGTTTACTGGCACTCAAAAAAAAAAAATCAATGAAACATAATACATATACATACCTAAAATAGATATTTCTTAATATAAGCCACATTTCCCTGCTGTGAAAATTTTCTATTAATTAAGCATTTGGAAAGTCTTTTTTCACATCTTGAGGTAGTTTCAATATGGTAATCTAGATGACTGTTCCTTAACTTAAATCTAATGATTGTCTTTGGCGTAAAGAAACACCATATTGTGAATATGAAGAATACACTCTATTGAAGTTTTATTTAAAAGGGGATGATCAGCTCTAAATGGAAGCCTCTTAAGCTTCAAAATCATGTTTTAATAAACAATAGAGGAAAAAAACCAATAGAATATAATTAGTAGTATGGACATGGAAAATGTGCAGTATCACAAAAAATGGAAGAATACAAATGTAAAGTGAGAAATCTTTTCCCTTGTTTTTGCAATCACAAATAATTTTTAAATTATAATGCACAATGCAACTATAGGTATGGTGAACTAAGCAATATCACACCCAACTGCTTAAAGTATGCATCAGTATAACATTTGAAAACCAGTGTGGAACTATCAAAATTTTTTTTATTAATCATAACTTTTGATCTAATAATTCCTCTCTGGAAATCTATCCTAAAGCAAATCTTAATATGAAAATATTAAATATATAATATTAAATATTAAAGGGGGAAGGGATGATATAGGATTCAAATTTATATATATAGTATGATTAAAACCATGTAAAAATAGGCAAACTATTAAAACTTATGTATAGAAAGAGAGAAATAAAATGCACTGTTACCAGTGACTGAAGTGTTTTCACCATGGAGAATTCTATTTTCTTTTTTCAATTTCTCTTTTCAATTCTTTTTTCAATAAAGAACTCTTTCTTTATTGAGTCAAGAAAATTTCTGCACAGAGTACATGTGCTTTCAGTGATGAGTTCTCTTCAAAAATTCCCTTAAGGCGAGACTGTGGCAAATTGATCTGAGCTAATTTTTAACTTTTTTGCTAGTGTGGAAATTCAATGTAAAGATATCTATACCATAAGTGACAAGGCATGTATCTTATGTCCTTCAGTTGTGATTAAGATGATCTCAAGTATTTTTTGCTTATCTTAAAGGTTTCATACAGGCAACTTTCCTATATACTGCTTTTTGATAAACTGCAAAATACAGAAATTAAGTTAAATAAAGGAAGTACATCTGTATATACTAACATGGAGTACTAAGTTGCAGGATAACATATCGCATATTATCACTCACCTAAACACGTCTACATATATTTATATTGGCATTGAGAAGATTACGGTTTTCTTAAGGGCTCCAGTTATATGCCATATAATCAAGGTTTTACTAGCACAAGGGTATTCCTGAAAGATGTTCTGTAAAAGCTAAGAGACACAGAATAGAGGTTTGGGAAGTTACAAACTTCCTGCAATTATTTATTAAATTTTGAACATGTATTTATTTTCCAGGGAAGTGGATTAATAGGTTTCATTGGATTCTCAATGAAGTCTGTGGTTCTAAAAATCTAAGCACTGTCCTACACAAGTGTGATTCAGCTTACAATGCTCAAACATTTTCACTACTCAAGATGCTTAAGGCCCGAAAACACTTGGGAGATCTTAACAGCCCTGAACCTAACAAAGTCAAATTCCAAAATATGATCAATAAATGTCAAATAGCACTTACAGACTTTTTATCATGCATGAATGTCAACACTTGGAAGCAAACACCTGAACTTTAAGATGCCCTTATGACTTATCCAAACTGGTATCATTTAAAGAATAAAAACCTGTTCTATTAATAATTAACAAAACAGTTAAACTGAGACAGTTCCTGGCAAGGCAAAACATATTGTTACCGCTCTTAAATTACACAATGACTCAGTGATATCTGAAAGATCTGTCCACAGCTCTTAGTCAGGATAGAACTTCACCCCCTGATTCACAATGCAGCTGGATGTTCAATGTTTCCTACTGATGGTGCGAGTTAATTTTTGTTGCCTCCATGGGAAAATATTCAAGTTGCTCTTTAAAGAGGTATTGCTACTCAAATATTTATAGAATATTGCTTTATATTTCAGAAATATAGAATTATGTTCCATATCCTTCTTACTTTCAATCCAGACTTCTTTCAGTCCTTCCATCCTTTTTTTCAACATAACTGTATATTTTGTGGAATTATGTTACCTATTTTCTTTTTTAAGAGATATTATGAAAATCAGAATCATTCAACGAATGAATCTTACTCATTTTAAATATGTGGAGCATCTACTACATAGCAGGCATCATTTTTAGGTGCTAAAGTTTCTGTGGTACACAAAACATGACAAAATCCCCACCCTCATGAAGCTTACATTCCAGTATATTAGACAGAAAAATAAGATAACCAAGTTGGCCAAGGAAGGCTTTAGTGATAAAAACTCCAAAGAAGAGGTGATGGAATTCCAGGTGAGATAGTTCAAATCCTAAAAGATGATGCTGTTAAAGTTTTGCATTCAATATGCTAACAAATTTGGAAAACTCAGCAGTGGCCACAGGACTGAAAAGGTCAGTTTTTCAAATCCCAAAGAAGGGCAATGCCTAAGAATGTTCAAACTACCATACAATTGCACTCATTTCACATGCTAGCAAGGTAATGCTCAAAATCCTTCAAGCGAGTCTTCAATAGTGTGTGAACTGAGAACTTTCATATGTACAAGGTAGATTTAGAAAAGGCAGAGGAACCAAAGGTCAAACTGTCAACATCCACTGGATCATAGTAAAAGCAAGAGAATTCCAGAAAAACATCTACTTCTGCTTCATTGACTATGCTAAAGCTTTTGACTGTGTGGATCACAACAAACTGTGGAAAATTCTTGAAGAGATGGTCCAGACCACCTTATCTGCCTCCTGTGAAACCTATATGCAGGTCAAGAAGCAAGGGTTAGAACCAGACATGGAACAATGAACTGGTTCAAAACTGGGAAAGGAGTACATCAAGGCTGTATATTGTCACCCTGCTTATTTAACTTATATGCAGAGTACATCAAGCAAAATGCCAGGCTGGATGAATCACAACCTGGAATCAAGATTGCAATAACCTCAGATATGCAGATGACACCACCCTTATGGCAGAAATTGAAGAACTAAAGAGCCTCCTGATGAGCGTGAAAGAAGAGTGAAAAAGACGGCTTAAAACTCAACACTCAAAAAACGAAGATCACGGCCTTTGTTCCCATCACTTCAGGGCAAATAGATGGGAAAACAATGGAAACACTGACAGACTATTTTCTTGGGCTCCAAAATCACTGTGGACAGTGACTGCAACCATGAAATTAAAAGATGCTTGCTCCTTGTAAGAAAAGCTATGACGAACCTAGACGGCGTATTAAAGAGCAGAAACATTACTTTGTCAACAAAGGTCTGTATAGCCAAAGCTATAGTTTTCCCAGTAATCACATATGGATGTGAGAGTTGAACCAAAAAGAAGGCTGAGGACTGAAGAACTGATGCTTTCGAACTGTGGTGCTGGAAGGACTCTTGAGAGTCCCTTGGACTGCAAGGAGATCAAACAAATCAATCTTAAAGGAAATCAACCCTGAATTGGAAGGACTAATGGTGAAGCTAAAACTCAAGCTCCAGTACTTTGGCCACCTGATGTGAAAGGCCAGCTCATTGGAAAAGACTCTGATGCTGGAAAAGATAGAGGGCAGGAGGAGAAGGGGACGACAGAGAATGAGATGGCTGGAAGGCATCACCAGCTCGATGGACTTGAGTTTGAGCAAGCTCGGAGAGATGGTGAAGGACAAGGAAGCCTGACGTGCTACAGTCCATGGGGTTGCAGAGTCGGACACAACTGAGTGACTGAACAACAACAATAATGGGTCTGAGGTGGAAGGAAGGGCGTGCTGAAGGAACAGCAAAGAGGTCATGAGGTTGGAACAGTCTGAAGATGGAAGAGAACAATTGGAAATGAGAATAGAAAGGTAATAGAGGACCAGATCACGTAAATTCCTGTAGATAATCGGTAAGGCCTATAGTTTTCTCTGAGTGAGATGGAAAGCTGTTGGAGGTTTTTCAACAGAAAAATTATAACTAACAGAATTCTGGCTGTGTGCTCAGAACAAACTGCAGGAAAGCTAAGGCTCAAGGAGGGAGACCCGTTAGAAAGCTTCTTCTATGAACCAGGCAAACGATGGTGGCACAGACGAGATGATGGCAGAGGGAATGGTGATAAATGGTCAAATTTATCATGTAATTTATCATTACATTTTGGAGACAGAGGCAACAGGATCTGCTGATAGACCAGATGCTGGGGGTGAGACAAATAGAAAAGTTAAGAATGGCACCAAGATTTCTGGCCCAAGCAGCTAGAAGAATGGAACTGGCATTAACTGAGACAGGGAAAATTGTAGAAGAAGCTGGTTTGTGAGAGACACATTAAGTTAAGGATGTCCATTAGACATGTCAAGTAGGCACCTGGAAATACAGGTCTGGAGGTCAAGGAACAGGAAGAGATAAATTTGGGAGCCAATGTAGATGGTATTTAAACCCGTAAGACTGGATGCGATCACTGTCTTAGGGAATGGACAGAAAAGATGAGAGAACCAAGGACTGATCGATCCTTGGGGAACTCCAAAATTTAGACATAAGGGAAATGAAAAGGAATCAGCAAGAGAAACCAAGATATTAATAGTATATGAACTCTGGATGTGTAAAAAATGTAAAAAGAGTTTTAGCAAACTTATTAAGGTTGAATTAACGAAAAAAATAACAGAAAACTCAAATGGAACCACTAGGAACTCTGCAATATTGCTAAAATGATGTGTTCTACAAAGAACCATAATGGAAGGAATGCTCCACTTTTATTTTTTTCTCGCCAACTGAGGAAGACTAAAGACAGGAAGAAGAGCTTGGACACAGATGCTGGCA